TGAGATTCAAGAAGATAAATGCATAAAAAAATTTAAAAAAAACTGGATGCAGGAGCCAAACAGCAGAAAATCTTTATGGTTTTACACCTGAAGAAGCTTATGGGAAAACACCTACAGACCTTCTAGTGGAAAACACCTACAGAGAGTTGGTCTGGAGAGTTTCCCATAAGGAAAAAGAACGGAAAAATTATAATGGTTATCGCGACCAATACGCCAAATCGTGATGAAAATAGAAGATTAATTTAGGTATTGAACCAGTAGAGGGAAAACAAAACCTAAAAGCAAAACCTAAATTGAGCGAAAACTCAAAACATACCTGAAAGCGACGATTGAAAACAGCAAAACCGATTGGAAACGACCTGCAAGGAAACAGATGAAAATCGAGAGCCAAAACCCAAAACCCAAACACAAAACCTAAAAACAAAACTCAATCAGTTCATACCTGAAGGCGATTGTGAAGCGAAGCCGATTGGAAATAGCGAAGCCGATTGAAACAACGAAGGCGATTGTGAAGCGATTGAGGTGGGAACGATTCGACGATGGAAGACTCTTAAAGGGAACATCTTGGGGAGTGAAGCGTTGTCTCGGGAGCTGAAAATAGAGGAGTGTTCTTGGGGGAGGAGAGAGCCGGGTAAATTGAAGAGACACATTGGGGGAAGGGAAGGCGTGTAATGTAAAATAGGTTTAATGTAAAATAGGTTTAAGGGTATTTTCGGTATTTCAAAAGTTAAGACTTTAAGACTTTCATCAAATTTGTTTAATAAGGTAGTATAGATTAGAATATTACAGTTTCGATCATTTTTAATTAAAAATGTAGGTGAATTACATGTGTATAGATACTCATTTGCGGGGTTAATGTGTTATCTATCTCCTTTGTTGTCCACGTGTAGTGATTTTATTGGATATATGATGTGTACTCCTTACCCCTTTGCCTATTTTACTCAACACCCCACATGAGCATGAGCAATGTTGTGGCATTTTCGAAATTAAGACTCCATTGTTGTCCAATAATGAACACGGTATATACACTGAGCTCAAACGGGGGTTCCCTTTTCTCATCACCTCACTCGCACTTTCCTCCTTTTAGGACCATTTCTTAGCTGACGTTTTCCAAACCAGATAAAATAATCCACCTTTACCAAAAACCCACTGAATTTCCCAAACGATTATCACAAACCCCCATCGTTTCTCCATTACAGCTTCCTCTACACCTTTAAATTAAGCCTTTATCTCTTTCTTGATTTCAATTTCTATAAAAAAAAAATGGAACCCATACCCGCGAATTCTCTTCCCGTCGGCTATCGTTTTCGTCCCACCGATGAAGAACTCGTCAATCATTACTTACGTTTGAAGATCAACGGTTACGATCGAGAAGTGAGTTGTATTCAAGAAGTCGATGTCTGCAAGAAAGAGCCTTGGGACTTACCCGGTATGTTCTTCACTTTCCTTCTCTCGATTCTTGTTGACGATGCCAAGATGTTGAATTTTGTCTTTTAGGGTTTTATTTGAAGCTAAACAGTGTGTTTTTGAACTGTAGGTTTGTCGGTGATTGAGTCGATCGATAATGAATGGTTCTTTTTTTGCCCTAAAGATCGAAAGTATCAAAACGGGCAGCGATCGAACCGCGCCACCGTGTCTGGGTACTGGAAAGCCACCGGAAAAGATAGGACGATCAAGACTAATAAAGGGGGAAGTGTGATTGGAAGGAAGAAGACTCTTGTTTTCTATACTGGTCGAGCCCCAAAAGGGGAAAGAACTCATTGGGTGATCCATGAATACAGTCCTACCCAAAAAGAACTCGATGGTACCCATCCTGGACAGGTGCATAAATAGCAATTATACATATATATGGTCAGTCGGAAAACCTTAAAAAAAAATTGAAAAAACAAGGAACACCCTGGTAACAATTCATTTGATAAGTAATTTATTCATTTGCACATGTGCATAAAACCAGGAAACAACTCCAATTAATGGTTACCGGGGTGTTTTTCAAATTTTCATTTTCTTATGTTTTTCCCTAGATCTCCCTCTATACATATATAAATATGTATATATATATGTGTGTGTGTATCTTGGTTGTGAATTCCTTTTAGAATATTGCTTTAACCAGTATATAAGTGATTCCTGTATGACCAACCTTTTGTTAGCTCCTTTTAGCTTCCATTAATGGTCATTTTGTAGGATTCTGAGTTTCTATTCTCATGGATTCAGATTCTGAGGTTGCTTTATGACTCAAGTAGAATGTTGTCTTTCTGATGATTCTTGGCTATTGTTCTTAATTTGTTATAATCTTCAAAACATTTGTGATCATTTATGATGTTTTGTATACTTGTTGTTGCAGAATCCTTTTGTGCTGTGTCGTTTATTTAAGAAACATGATGGGAAGGACGAAATTCCCGAAAGCTTCGACTGTGCTGATGTTGCGTCTCCTCCTTCGATAGTGAAGCCGTCTCCCGAGGATGTTCAATCAGAACCCGTGACACCAAATTTTTTGAATGTTCAAACCCACGTGCAACCTTCACGCACGGAAACTTTGAAAGTTGAAGATTACGATAGAACGAATGACTCGCTGGTTTTTCTTGATTGTCATGACATGGATCCTTCGAAAGATCTAACGGTATGTGACTGTGTGTGTTAGTTTTTTTGGTATTTCTATGTAATATGGTTTCTTTAATATCCTGATATTTCTAATTTGCAGCCATATCCGGAGCTTGAAGATGATCTACAAGTTTTCTGGGATCCTTCGCCGCAAAATTTGGATTCAAAAATCTTTTCCCCTTTGCATTCCCATATGCAGTTAGAGTTTGGATCTTCATACTTGGGCGGTAACAATGAAATTGGAAACTATGGAAACCAACATTTTGAAATGCAGGATGAGTACGGAACAAATGCCGAGGAATTGCTAAGTTTTATAGATGAACCGGATCAGTTTTCTTTCGATGATTCTGGTTATAAAGGCGATTCATTTGCTCAACCTTCTATGCCCAAAGTTGACATTAAAGATTATGGATATAGCAGCGAGTCTGATGGCGAAGTCATCCAAGTTCAGGTACGTTTAGGGGTTGTTTGGTTGGTTTCCTTAAAATCCTGTAGGGATAAAGCTGGTTGTGTGGATTAATCTGTCCTTATAAATTGGGATGATTTTTGTTTGATAGGGTTTTTTTAATAGATGGAAGAAGCATATTTATTAATTGGGGCTGGAAGGTTTAAAAAAATTTGGCTTTCTGCATAAAGCTCCTCCCTAGTCCCTAGAAGCTTACTGAATAAGCCACTACCAGACAATCATTAGCTGAATCGAATAAGCTATGAGTCCCATTAAACTCATTAAGCTGCTAACAGACAGGCCCTTAGGGGATGTTTGGTTGATGTCATGTATGAATAAAGTTGTTTGTGTGTATTAATCTGTCTGTATAGATTGGGGAAGTTTTTTATAGATGAAATAAGCGTGTTTTTAATTGGGAGGGGGCAGGTTTGGAAAAAACCCTGCCTTTCTGCATAAAGCTCCCCCTTATAAGCTTACTGAATAAGACACTTTCTATATCATTAAGTCACTACGAAACAGTTACATATAGCTGACCGAATAAGCTGTGAGTCCCATTAAACTCATTAAGCTGCTAATAAACAGGCCCTTTAGGCTCAATCACTGCTGAAAACATGTTTGTGGTAAATTTACGTTTGTGTCATCTTGTGTTTTGTAGCCTATACACAGTGGTTTCTCAACCGGTGGACCAGTTAACATGGGACAACAAGCGTATCATTGGCCTGAAGGTTTTGAAAACGGGAATGGCGGAAATTCTGCCCTCCAAAGCATAATGACCATAGAAAAGATCCCTCCTGAAGAGTCGTGCAGCAGCAGCAGCATCAATAATTCTGGGACGGGCATCAAAATCAGGAGCCGGGGAACACAGGGAATCGGTAATGGCCCGAGCTTTGCTAACCAAGGAACCGCACAGAGAAGAATCCGTTTGCAGATGAAACCAAGAAATTTGATCGAAAAAGAAGATGAAGGGAAACAGAAGGTGGGTCTTCATTTTCATTTCCTGTCTCTTTTTTCCTTACGGAAAACGAAGTTTTCTAGACGTTTGTTGTTGATTCTAGAAATGGTATTTACGTTTACAGGAGAATTATAGTGATGCTGCCTCGATGAACAAGGGTGTGAAGTCCAGAATGTCGGGCGTTGGTTTGCGTATGCGAAAGGTGATTGTGGTTGTGGGTTTTTGCGTAGGAATCGCTAGTTTATGGAAATGGTTAATTGACTGAGTAGGGAAGTAGTTATTTTGTGAATTAGTAGGAGGTGTAGAACGATGACTTGTGATGTTGATATATCGTTGTTTATATAACCGTAGTTTGTATGGGATCGAACGTAAAAACGACTGGTTGTTTTCAGGAGTTGTATGATAATAATTTGATGGTTCTGTGAGTTATGGACTTGAATCTGTTGTTGTTACAAGTAAATGTGTTTGCAAGTTGAGTTTGGCTTTTCCTAAAGTTTAGATTAGGCAGAAAGCCCAAAAGATGTTCCATCACTTTATCTCATCCCATCCCATCCCTTTTTGTTTTGTTATCTCATTTGGGGTAGGTTCAATTGACAAGTGGGGATGTTTGGTTGATTAATCTGTCTATATGGATTTAAAAGGTCTTTGTTTAAAAATGTTTTTTCATAGATGGGAGGAGCGTGTTTTCTAATTGGGAAGGATATTTTTTGGCTTTCTGTATAGAACTCCTCCTAGAAGCTTTTACTGAATAAGTCACCTTCTATATTATATAGTCCATATCAAAAACTCATGTTTAACTGACCAAATAAGTTGTGGATCCCCTTAAGCGTATTAAGTTGCTAACAAACAGATAAGTTTCATTGTGAACCAAGGGACAAAGGAGTGTGCAGTGTGAATAAGACATTCACGAGTTATTTATCAAGAATAATGTATCATTCATAATGAATGCGTATCATTTACAGAATGTGTGTCATTTACATCCTGAATGGTGTATCATTTTATGAATAATGTAAACATTCATCGTGATCTTGTTCATGATGAATGTGGACAACTGGGGACACGTGTCATGGTCCATAATAGAAACTTTCCTCATTTCATTAGAATTCCGAATAGCAATTCAAACACGCAAAAGAAGGCACAAAATCCTTGAGGAAATTGAAAGCGAGTTGGGTCGAGTTAGGCTCATGTGGTTCACCAGAAAAAGAACGATTTGATTTCACATACGACGCGAATGTAACAAATTAAAAACCATTATTTAGATGGTATCAAAAACACATGATGCCCCACCATTTCTTGTTCTTTTCTTCAACTCCCATCCCCACCTCAACCCTTTATCATCCCCTAAATCTTCACCATTTCAACAAGAAACAAGATGTTGAGAGTGGGTTTCATGGTGGAGCTTCTTCAAGATTACCAGATGATCATGAAAATGTTCACAGAACAACTCTCGCCTCATCTAAGACGCGCGAGCAGGACGATCACGGCCCCATCATCATCCACAGATTCTTCCATTTTTCTTGTTTTCTTCTGATGAACCATTCACATAAACACACACTCATATGCAGAGTGTTGTTTCCTTCTTAATCTGTTAAGTTTTTCTTCATTTTCTTGGTTTGATATGCAGATTGTTGTTGCATTTTTTATTTTGAAGGTGTTCTTCTGTTGTATGTCTTTATGTGTATCAATTCAAGTCCTCTTTGGAAATCAAAAAAACAGTTTTGTTGATTTTTCATCAAGTCTTGTATGGATAAAGTTGACTGTATAGATTAATCTATCTATATAGATTGTGAATGTTTTTGTTTGGAAGAGTAGCGTGTTTTTTAATTGGGAAGAACAACTTCGAAAAAAACTTGACTTTATGCATATAGCTCTCCCTCCTAGAAACTTACTACCAAACAGTCATATATGTAAATAGTTGACCGAATAAGCTGTGAGTTTCGTTAAGCCGTCTCTTACTTTTCTGTGCAGATTAATGATTCTAGAAAGCAATCTACAGTTTTACTGCACTGTTGATTTACCCCAGAAAAGAAAAGGGAATTTGAAGGGTAGGGTTCAAGTTTTTGGCATTGCTAGAATATGATAATAATTGTGTGAAATACATTTGCACAAGAGATGTTCCCATTCATTTGAAGCAAACAAAGGTGTCCAGATGAAGGCAACAACATAAACTAATAGTATACATTACAGACTGTGACATGATGACCCCATCTTTGCCTTCTGCATCTTCAATTCTAATGCTCCTATCTCTATCTCTATCTCTATCTCCATACAATACAGTAAAATTGGCTTTATATGATGTTTAAATGTTTTAATAGTCAATAGACTGCTTTATAAATTTAGAAGATCTAACAGTTTATTAGCTAAAAACAGTAGCTAGAATGCCCCAAGAGAAGCTTTATGTAAAAAGCCACGTTTTTTTTCCAAACCTGCTTCTACCAATTAAAAAATGTAGTTCTTCCATCTGTGAAAAACCCCTACCAAACAAAAACCTTTTCAATCTACAATGACAAATTAAACCATATTAACAGCTTTATCCTTTAATGAAAAGTCAACTAAAGAGCCCCTTAACAGAAAACCAACCAAACACCGGCTATTTGCATAAAAATCAAGAAAATCTTGAAATATGCAAATCATGGTCTCTCTCTTTCATGGTGGAAGAGAGAACCAAAAGAAAAGGGATTTCAGCAATAAACCAAAAAAGCATTGCAAAAATCATGATCCTTATGGAATTAATTCAGGTGAAGCAGCTAGAAAAGTTTAATATATTCTCCAAATGAGAGTGCACCACCATAGTCAAATGGGGATATGATAAATCTCAAAACTCATCTTCAAAAACACAAATTAAGAAATTCTACCTAAGTAGTAAGCTCCATAATTGCACTCACAATGTCCCCATTGTGAGTCTTGAGAGCCTTGACCGCCTTAGGCCTCGACACACCCGCTTGAGTCATCACCAGATCGATGTCACGTGGTTCGACCCCAGTCTCATCCACCTCCTCCTCCTCTTCATCCGCCTGTGCAGCCGCAGCCGCAGCGGAAATGTCGGATTTTCCCATAACAGACCCCATATCCGGCATTCTGAACTGTTGGGCAGCTTGAGTCTGCAATTGTGAACTCAAATCCTCAATCTTTGCCTCCCCAAATATGACATAAGTTTCCGAGTTGGGGCTCTTGAATACATCCGGTTTTGAGATGAAAAACATGATCTGTATCATCATAAAAGAAACCGTTTGAACGCTATCTCAATAGAATCTTTAACAATTTAACAAAAAAAGAGAAAAGTGGCTAACATTCTTGGCTCTTTTAATGGTGACCCTGCTAACACCAAGAACCGGTTTCATCCCCAACTTCAACATCGCCTTTCGACTCTTCTTCTCACTCCTACTTTGCTTTGAACTCTCACTCCCACCTAAATTTCATTCCACAATGCATAAAGATCATGCTGATGAAAGAATATATATATATATATATATATATATATATAGAGAGAGAGAGAGAGAGAGGGGGGGGTTCAGGCAAACCCCAAAAAAAATGAAAAACTAAGGATCACCCTCGTAATCATTTATTTGGAGTATATGCCATATACAAATAATTGATATTGTTTCATGGTTTTTATGCATGTGTGCATGTTATGCATATGTACATACCTGACAAATTGCTTATTAATTACTTGTATGCACATGTGCATACCATTCAAATAACAGTTACTAGAGTGCTCCTCAGTTTTTCATTTTTTTACAGTTTTCTCACAAACCTGACCCTATATGTGTGTGTGGACATCAAACAGTACCCAATTGTGTCAACTACTTGAAAAGATGAAAAAACACAGTTGAGCTTAATCTAATAAGCTAGCATTCAAAAGTGTCCCCCTACCCATGATCATCCCAGATAAAGGATTTCATCAATAACTTAATCCGATGCTTTAAAACATTATATATATATACACACACACACACATCAAAGAGTACCCAATTGTGTCAACTACTTGAAAAGATCGGGAAAAAGTCGAGCTTAATCTAATAAGCTAACATTCAGAAATATCCCCATACCCATGATCATCCCAGATAAAAGATTCCATCCAGTAACTTAACCCAATGTTTTAAAACACATTCAAAAGATATCTAAACAACCACATCCAGTAACTGAATTCAATGGCAAACAGACTCTTAAGAAGCTAAGAATGTAGCATATTTTACCAACATCATAAAATCCTACAAAAAGCCATCTAGAACATATATCCAATAAAAGAATCACAATTTTACAACTAGCTTGCTTAAATAGCCAAACAAATAGATAAACACAGCTTAATTGCGAACAGAAACAAAGAACCCATCAGTTATCTAATCAAGATTCGATGATAAACATAAAAGAAAGTATAAATCTTGGATGCAAAACAACCCCAATACAAGAATCTAAAAAACCCTTGAAAAGCTGAACTAAAATGACTACCTTGGGCACCGTCTTCCTTGTCATCATCATCGTCGTCGTCGGAATCGGCGTCGGCGTCGTCGTCGTTGTGGTCGTCTTCCTCCTTAACATCCTCAACGACACCCTCGACCACCGTCTCATCCTGCATAGAATCAGCTATATGCGTCAATAACAAGTACGAAAGAATGGAGCGTTGATTATAATAAGAAGATTAAAGAATGTAGAAGAAGTAACACCTCGACCTTCTTCTCGGATTCAATTTCTTCGACGACGGGGCCCGGCATCTTTAATTGATAAGGGTGGTGGTTTTGAAGTGGAGCACCGGTGTGGATAAAATCTTTCCAAGCAATGGTGTATATGGTTATATATAGAGATATGCGGATTTTACTCTCTTTAGGTTTAGGGTTCCTTCTTATTGGGCCTTTTTCTTATTGGGCCAACTTCACAACAACATGTAATGATTTTGAAAATTCGGTTAATATCAGTTGGGTTAAAAACAATGTAGAAAATGGGTATTACTATTATGTGTTCATTTGACAATCCAATACCCATTAGTGTTTTGCCAAGAGAATCCACCGTTCGATCTTGTTAATACTCGAGATCTTGTTGTTTATGAGATGCCAACAATGAGGAGAAATTCTTTTGCCAGTGGTTCTGCCACACTCATTTCTTTTCTCCCTATGGCGCTACGTGTTGTTGTCTTTGGTTGAGCGAATCGCTTTGTTCTGATCCGAGAATCCTTACGTCTAAGGTCGAGCAACTAACGCCCTCTTTGTTGGGGTTAGATCCTCGTTGTTGCCACTCTCCTCACTGGGCGACACTCTAGCCTCCATTGTAGGTCGAATGTTGGAGTTTACATCCGATAAAGTTGGACCATTTCTCGCTCATATTTGTTGGAACCTCTCTTCCTCCTCGATACTTTGTTGGATATTAATTTCACATATTCTCTCATGTCTAACCAAGCACAGTTATACAAGTTTAACTCAAAAATCAAACCAGTTCCACAAAATCAATAACAAAAGCATCATCATCACTACAAAAATATAGTAAGCACAAAGTGCCCCACAAATAAAACAACCAATATTTGACCATAACTGCAAATACCCAAATTGTAAACCTTTTTACACCATCTATAAGCCATTAAGCAACACTGGGATTTGAGTGACCATTAAGCATATAAAAGTTGCACAAAAACCTCAAGAAGAGAACAGCATTTGGAATCATTGGTATATCCTTCATGAAGTTATGCCCTTTTTTACACAATTCCTCACAAAATTCCAACCTTCAGTATCAATTGCATGACAATGGCCACCCACTCCAGACCATGATTTGCAAGGTGCAGCAACATCACACACATAGCAATAGCACTGCAATTAAACAGTAAAATAACATTTAGAAATATCAAAGGTAAAGAACCAATTTAGCCCCAAAATGACATTGGAATTACCAATTTACAGTAGCTTTCATGGGGTGTATTCTCGAATGGATTATTTACACATAAATGTCTAGAATGGGGATAATCTCTGCAAGCAACCTACAGCAGAAAACATGAACACCCATTTAAAGAAACAAAACCAAGAATGGATGATGAAGATGATGAATGAACTCTCAAGTCTTAATTTAGGATCTTGATTTAGGGTTTAAGGAAAAAGACCTGTCCTCTTTCAGCGAGTAAGGAAATGTCTGGAGAATCTTGGGGGTTGTTGTGTTGACCCTTTTCGGGGGAGATCTTGGAGAGATCAAAAGAATCTTCTTCTGGATCAAAATCGAGGATGAAGCAATCTTCTTTCTCTTCAAACTCTTTAATGGCGGATTTTCTCTTTAAACAGAAGATGGGTCTTAAAGGTGAGTCGTCATCGTCATCGGCATCGGTAAAACATTCAACAGCTGTTTTCTTGTTCTTTCTGGGCGTGGAGAAACCTGGAAGTGAATCGAGTTCTCGAACAGACGCCATTGATCAGAAGAAACTCTAGAAAACCCTCTACAAAATCCAAACTTATTTATGTTGATCTTGATCATCAACTCGTCATATAACGGTTTGAATTTTGAAACCGGAGGAAAATTGGGCCTGAATTTGGTCTACATTTTTGAAAATTGGGCCTTCATTGGATCTACATTTTAGAAATTGGGCCTCAATTGGATCTACATTAGGAAAAATGAGACTTGTGTAAGCCCAAGGACTTGAGTTGACTCAATCCATGACTCCATTTCAAAATTCAAATTATGTACTTTTAGGTCAAGTAGTTTGGATTATTGGTTACGTTTATGGCCATTTTTATGGAATTGTAAGATTCAAATATATATATATATATATATATATATACTATATTATAAAGCATTTGACAGAAACTCTTAAAAACCACTTTTTATGCATAAAATACTGTTTATTAATGCATGTTACTTAAAACTCAATATTACAAGTAGATTGTGGGTAAGTACAACTTTTTAAAGTTTCATATCTGAATTCGTGTAACTAACTGCAGATAAACATAATCAAATACAGGATAAACATCTCATTTTAAATATAAAAAATCTAAAATATAATTAGGATAATCATTGAGTTCTAATAGAATACTTAATTATTATATTTATAAAATGTTATATTATTAAATCAAAAATAAATTACTTCGTTATCTATACTATATTATAAAGCATTTGACTAAAACTCTTAAAAACTCTTAAACTCTTAAAACTCTTAAACTCTTAAACTCGTTCATCCCTATCCGATTTTATCTCATATCTGAATTCGTGTAACTAACTGCAAATAAACACAATCAAATA